GCAGGAATGTGTAAAAAGCCAGTGGCCAGGGTAGAGTGTGAGTTAGGAAAGGGAAATTTGGAGAACTGATTAAAGGCATTGAGTCAACTGACTACCTCCTTGGCTAATTAACCCTGACAGATGTTGGCACTCTACTTAAGAAATTCATCCTTTTTCTTTCTGCCTCTATGGCTTTCCCTCTTCCTAGGACTGGAGTGAACTGGGCCATCTTCTTGATTCAAGCTCCAAAGATCCAAAGACATCTCATTCAACTTTCCCAAAGGAGGTTTTTTTATTTTTTTTATTTTTTCAGATTCCCTTTCGCCTTCATAATTTGGAATGAACATTCTCAACCTTTACCAACTGTATCCATATCCATTCATTTCTGATGATCCTAATAATTCTCAGCCCAACTTGGTCCAAGCCTTTTCCTTCTTTTTTTTTTTTTTTCCTGTTTCTGTTTGAGTCAAAGGTACAAAGGTTCTAGCACAGTGGTTAAGAGCCTACAGGCTTTAGAATCTGACCACCTGGCTCCTATCCTAGTGCCTCTGCTTCCTAACTGTGTGACTTGGGACAAATTCTTTCACTTTTCCAAGCCATAGTCTTGTCTTCTGTGAATGGATGATAATTACAGTTAGTGCTCAGTCAATAGATATTGCTCTTAGCTATTGGGGAAATATTCTGCTATCCTTACTCCAACCTCGAGGTGGAGATCTTTGCATGTCCAAAGGAACTTCACTGTCAAATTTTGATGTTTATTGTGCATCCTTGGTTGAATGCAACATTGAAAGCCCTGCTTTTGAGACATGCACTCTAGTATGCAATATTTGTCTCTATGCTCATAGGCACTTAAATGCTATGTTTTGACAATAACTTAGCTAAGGCACTTAAGATGTATGGCTTAATTTTTTTTTTTTAATGCAGCTAGACACCTAGAGGTGTCCCAGTAAAATGAATTAAGCTTGTCCTCACTTCTCACTCCATTTTGCAAATGAGTTACAGAGACTTGGAGAAGATTAAACATTTGCCCTGGGCCGGCAAGTCATCCTAGAGTCAGGTATAGTACTAGTTGAAGGGACCACTTGTTGAAGACTCTCTGAAATACCTGAAAATGATAACTTATCCATTTTTTCTTTGGCTGGAAATGTTATCAGAGAGGTGAAGTTGTATTGTGTAAAATACTCAGTTTTTTTGGTCCAGATCTCTTAAGATTAGAGGCCTGCCTTAGAATGCAGAATGAAAAAAGGCAAACACAAGTCAAATAGGAAAAGAGAAGTTTTAATAGAAAAGTAAATATTTGTAATTAAAAAAATACACCCCCATGCCAGAAAGGTATGCAGGTAGACAGCTGTCAGAAAAGGACAACCTCACTGGGCATGGGGTTAGATATTACTTTTATTGTGAGAGTTGATAATAAATATTTAGCAGGGGAGATCTATAATAGTAGCCACTTCTTTTGTTTGAATTTCGTGAGCTTCCTTCTGCACTTGCATGCCTCTTTAGGTGAGAAATTTGAAGAATTTGATTACCTGGTTCCAGCAGTTAGTGTCATGGCTATGTCGCTGGACTCCCATGTAGTTGACTGTGGTTCGAGTCCCAGACCTGGTGGCTTAAATTCACACCAGGCGCATGGCGCATGTGCGTGCATGCCCAAGATTCTGAGAGGAGAATGGAGGAGAAGGGATTGCGGTGTGACCATCCCCTCGGGGGGTGATTTCTCGTTTTCTATCTCTCTGTCTTTCTGGCGAGCGCATGCGCCCTACAGCAAAAACCTCTCCAAAAAAGAAAAAAAAAAAGAATTTGATTACCTAATCATGCATTCCCAGTGTGGACTTAGAAGGTATGAATGATCTGTCCTACTAGTTTATTACCCAAGTGGGAATTAGGATGTTTACCTTGCATTCCATTCCAGTGCCAGAAGCTAGATGGGAGGGGGGATTTATCACAGAGGGCCTGGTTGTATTTCCGGGAAGGCTATGATTAGTGAGGCAGATGTCTTTTTGCTATTTTCTCAGGACTTCCTGCTCAAATCTATCTGACTATAACAAACTCCTCAAGGAAGGAGGCTAACCCATTATTGTTCTGCCTACTTCCACAGCTCTGGGTGAATCAGGAGGATGGGGTGGAAGAAGGGCCAAGTGATGTACAGAATGGACACCTGGACCCCAACTCAGACTGCCTCTGTCTGGGCCGGCCACTGCAGAACCGGGACCAGATGCGGGCCAATGTCATCAATGAGATCATGAGCACTGAGCGTCACTACATCAAGCACCTCAAGGACATTTGTGAGGTAGTCATGGTGGTATATCTTGGGGGCATGCAGGGTGGTATGGAGGGTTCTTTCATGAAGAACCAGTAGTCCTTCTGGGTCTTGCCTGTGACAGTCCCAAGATATTGAAAAAGGCAGCTGGACTGGCCTTCCAGTTTCTATTCAGTGGGGTGAAATTATTCCCTTAGGATTTCTCAGTCTCTCTGTTTCTCTCTTTTTCTCTATCTTAGTAACTTTAATATTCATATTACTTCTCTCCCCCCTCCCCCCCTCCGTGTGTGTGTGTGTGTGTGTGTGTGTGTGTATGTGTTTCCCTTATTTTGTCTCCTGAATATCTACTCTTGTCTTTTGTGTTTTGATCTGTTGGGTTGTTGGAAAAGTTATGATGCATTTATGCATAGGAAAACAGAAAAAATATGTCATGACTTTTCTAACAACCCAGCAGTTGATGCCACTCCATGCAAGTGCCTTACTTCACCCATTAAAGCAAAACATATCTTCCTCCAAGTCAGCAGTTCACTGACTTAAATATTGGGTCATTGGGAAAGTTATGATGCATTTTTGCATAGAAAAATATGTCATGACTTTCTTGATGACCTTATATGTTCCTAGGGGTGCTTGTTAAGCATCCAGTCTTCTCGCCTTGCCCTCCTCCCAAGTTGTGAATTATCAGCATGGGGAAAGGTGTGTACATCTACATTTAAGAAGCATCCTTTCTTATGCTGATGCTACTAGTCCTCCCTCCTCACTTTGGAGAGCACTGGTAAGTAAGTAGGTTTGAGCAGAAAAAAGCTTGAGGAAGCAAATTTATAGGAGATTAAGGCTGAATGGACAAGCCATGGTTCTTTCAGTATGTCACTTTGCCACTCAGGAGCTGTCTCCCTATACTCCCTAACCACATCTATTCCATCTTTCGTCCTAAGTGAAGATGAGAGCCTTTTTCCTCACACGCTCTTGAGCTCAGCAGAAGCAATGTAAAGCATTTTAAATGTAAGGAAAAACCAATGCAAAATGGAGGAAAAAAATTTTTAAAGAATTATACAAAAAAATTAAATGCACAAGTACACACACACACACACACACACACACACACACACATTTACAAGTTTCTGCTTGATCCAGGGAAGACTCCGCTTTGAGCCTTTTTTTTTTCTCCTTACTTCCAGAGGAGGGGTTAGGCCTTATTTTCTGTCTCTCATCCCAGGGAGAGTATAGTAGTACATCTATAAACATTTTTAAGTTATTTCTCCAGAGTTGCCAGATACTGTCTTTCTCACCCAGTGGAACCTACTGCAATGATGAAAATGTTCTATGTCAGTACTCTTTCATACAGAAGCCACTAGATAGCCATTCTTGGCTGTTGAGCATTTAAAATGTGACTAGTTTGATGGAGAAATGGAATTTTAAATTTTATTTCAGTTGTATCAACTTAAATTTAAATAACCACATGTGACTAATGCAACCACATTGGACAGTGTGGCTCTGGAAATCCTAAAGGAAAGGGCTTTGGACCTTAACTTTATTTCAACTCATTTTCTCACCCATTCTGTAAAGTTTAAAGGTGATCTCCTCACTTTCATGAAGCAGTAAGATAGGGTGGACAGAACAAGGGTTCTGGGGATATGAAGTGTTGGTTTTCACATCCCAATTTAGTCACTAAATAACCCTGTAGCCTTGAAGGTACTCCTTAGCTCCTCTGATCTTCAGTTGTCTTACTTGTTTAGTGCGTTTAATTATACTAGCCTTTTAAGGTTGACGAAATTAAAATAAATGTAATATTATAATAACACATTGTATTTAAAAATACATAGTTTTCATTCTTTCTCCTTTTATTTAATCTTTTTACCATCCATTCCTACCTCTTTTTTACTTTTTTTCCTACCTTCAACACAAATGAGTGATATTAAAAAATATTCTTCCTTCCACTGGAATATGCTATGTGGTATTATACATCAAATCACTGACATGCCATTTATTCAGCAAATCTTTAATAGAGATCTTCTCCATGACAGGCCCTGGGTGTAGCTCTTGCCTTTGAAGTATTATACTCTAAATCTGGGAACTTGTTAGAAATGCAAAATCTTTGTTTCTAACCAAGACCCACTGAATCAGATTCTACATTTTAACAAGGTTTCCATCTGGTATACAATATATATTAAAGTTTGATGAACATTGCTCCAGAATGATAACTATATTGTGATGTCATGTGGTCTAAAATAAAAGTACGTACAGTCTGTTCATCACTTGGTATCCAAGAGATCTTTTCAAAACCTAAGTCAGGTCATATCACTCTTCTGGTCAAAACCTTCCAGTGGCTCACCATTTCTTCTCAAGTATAAACTAAAGTTATTACCTACAATACTCTGTGTAGCCAACCCCTTCTTACCTCTGTAACTGTATATCCTGCTCCTTTTTCCTACATTCTCATTACTCCAGCCAATCCTGGCCTCTTGCTGTTCCTTCAACATGCTTGATATGCTCCCTACATTAGAGCTTTTGCACTTTTTTTTCCCCCCTCTGTCTAGAGCACTCATCCCTTAGATGTCTACATGGTTACCTTCCTAATTTCTCTCAAGACTTTATTCAAAATCATTTTTTCCTTGAGACTTCTCAGGGCATACTTACAAAAATTATAACCTTGCATTGCCTTTCCCCCTTTCCTGCTTTATTGTTCATTACACTTATTGCTATCTGACATAATATATATATA